CACAGCTTCCAAAGCAGTTCTGGCTCCAGAACAGTTAATCTTTTTCATTCAGAAAATTATTTGGAAGTCATTGAGCCTTAGTTCGAATTAGCACCTCAATGTGGCTGTTTTACCAATGCAGAGGAACATTACTGTCTTCCTACGCATTTTTTTTACCTTCAGGTTTCAGTATTCCAGTGTCCTCCTGATTGATTTCCCATTTCAAATCTCTATAAACTTGAGCTTCTCCAAAGATCTGTTGCCCATTTATTCACTTCTTTAAAATTCTCATCCTCACATTTAACTCTCTGCATGGCCTCACATGCTCTAAGCTCTAGAATATCTCTGTCACATCCTCAAGTCCTACAGTTTGACATTGCAGATATTTTTCACACCCTTCATTGGTGCTATTGGCATTGCAAACTAACCATTAATGAAACTCTGCCACTATTCTGCCAATCCATGCCCAAATTTATTTGATCCACTATTGACAATCAAGCTTTCAACTCCCCAGGTCCTAAACTCTGGAATTACCTTTATAAACTCTTTATCTCTCTGTACTTCTTCTAGACACTCTTTCAAACCAAAATTTTGTCACCTCTCTGAGTGTCTCCTTAATCGGCTTGCTGTAAATTCTTTTATCTCATTACATTGCTGTCGAGCGCCTTCAGGCAAGTTATTTTGTTGAAGATGCAATATTAATGCAAGTCGATGTTGTAGACCCAGAGAACAAAATGCAAATGCAACATTGTAGAATACCATTTATCCAAACAGGGTCAATCCATTTTAAACATGTGATTAATTTGGATCAACAGTTCATGCCAACGCTGTACAAAACTGAACCATTTTATTGCAGCCAATAATAATGTGATAATATATTCCTATGAAAAAGGGGGATCAGGAATGTTTAGGAATTTGATCAATTTTGATAAGACGTGCAACATATTAGATTCTTAATGTGACTCGAGAAGATCAAATTCTATCAGAATATAGCAACAGTCGTTGTCAACTTGAGGTTGGATTGTTATCGTACTCATGGAGGGTCACAGGTAGCAGGCAACAGAGTGTATGGAGGGTCAAATTCTCCAGCTTCTTACATATCATATCAACCCTGAGCAGTGTTGAACATTGAGGGTCGGTGCAGTTGTTGCCAACTGTTGTTCATAAGCAATGGAGTGCAGATGGGCCAAACGGTTGTGAAATAAATGACTGAGGCAGCGGAAAATTCTACTCGAAATGCCCCAGACTTTGACAGCAGGCCTCTGATTGTAATACAAATGCTGCTTCCCACAATGATGACCCAGACATCCATTGTACAGCTACAGCCGGTGCTGGCCCCTCTAGGGCTACCAAACACTTGGCGCCAAAGCACAGAGGCCAGTAATCTTCTTTAAGTTTGTTTTTGTTTCATGTCATTAATTAAACAATTAGCACTTTACCAGCACTGACCACTGGTAGAAGAATAATATAAATAGGGGAGGTAATAAGAGACGGAGGGTACTAAATTAAAATGCTTACGATTTTACTTTTTCTTTTCTATTCTGAGATGCTTTTATGCACCTCTGAACTTTTTCTTCCCAACAGCGAGTCACCTGTGACAAATCTTTCAAACTTCTTTTGTGTAAATTTTTTCCTCATTTCTTTCTCTACACCCAGCAGCACTTACACGCAGCTGAATTTTTCCCCCATCACCAAATCACCAATGTTAATTTTTTTAAAGCCTTTTATGGTATATAATTTGTAAAATCAATTGCGAATTGCAAAAACCTGCTACAATTAATCAAGATGCATAATTTTGTAAAATAAAACATTCAAGCCTTCCCATGTTCCACATTGTTTCTGCTTACACAATCTATCATTACACACATAGACGTGTTTGCTGCAAACAGTAATAATTGAACAGAGCCCATGGTCAATATGATGAGGCTTGAATCTTGATTTTCTATTAGATTTTTTTAACTGGAAAGAGAATAAATTCAAGCTTTTCTTACCTGGGTAATAGATCAGCTGCTGGTAGGATGAGGGCAAAATTTAAAATATAAGGAACGGGATTGCTGAAGGGTTTAGCAAGAAGGTGACTAATGTCACATGCCAGGCTGAAAGAACAGCACTTGTGACCTCAAACTGAATTGCAGCTGACACACAGAGCTTTAATGGAGGCTTCACCTTACCGCTGTTGTATGTGCTAAGTGACCTATGACCCACAAGTCAGGTGACCCCATATGTAGTACAGTCTATTTTGTTTGAGTACCATAAAACATGTAATACTCAACTCCACACACAATAACGTTTATTCAGTCAGCAAAATCAGCAAAGGGTTTAGGGTGGAATCTTACATGTTTTGGCCAAGTCCGAGTTGCGTTGGGTGACTTGGAGGTTGTTCACCATGAGGCCAACCGAATTCTGTCTCCATATCTTAATCATCAATTAGCTACCCGCCACTATGTCTGAATGCCACCCCACCTTAACACATGCCGTTCCCATGACAATGCAGCACTCAACAGATATCAGCCAGAACGTCAACATTCTTCACAGCCTCGCCATCTTTAAAAGGCCACAGTGTGCCCAGGCAAGGACTGGCATTCTGCAGCTGCCCTGCTCGCTCAAGGGCAGAGTCGGAACATGGGCAGAGAAGGGGAAGAGGGCATCACTATTCTCCAACAGTGTCCTGGAGGTCACTACCCAGGCCAGTGCCATCTCCAGGGTGAGGAGAAAGGGCCAGCAATGTAGAATGAAGGTCAATCACCTTCTCTGCTCCGCCACATTAAGACCCACACTCTTCTCTCTGCCACTCTCGCTACTGCATGTCCCATCTTCCCTCACCCACTCCCAAACCTTGCACGCCATCTGCGCTGCCTCCTCAGAATAGCTCACCACGTTTCCTCCATTCCTACCAGCTCTAATAGCTGTGTCAACCACTGTTCTCTAACTCATCCCGCCCCTCTGATGTTACAGGTAAAGACAGCCCATAACTGGAGACAACCGGTAAAGTGTAGGTGTGGGGGCCTAGGAACTCCCAAATCCTCAATGATCGTTGCCCTCGCAAAACCAAGCTGATACCATTCCTGTAGGGCTGCACCAAACAAGTAAATCTCACTCTGCCTGCCTCTGCCATTCTCCCACTAACCACGCTGTCAGTTTCAGTAATTGTACACCATTTCTAATCACTGGCTATGATTCCTTCTCTTTAATGCATGTACCACCAGCATCTCTATGATCTCCACAACTGGACCGAGAGTAACAGGCTTCAGAGGAAGCATCAACAAGCTGGCTACACCCCACCCCCAGCAGTCAGATACTGACACCTCGGAGGGGATCCCTAGAAATAGAGAGCGCAGGACCACCATCTGCAGAGCACCTCGCTGTGACAGTTCTGCAGCTGGGTGAGAAAGAAATGCCCAAGGCAGCCCGCACTCGGAGGACTGCCAGAGGCCGGGCACCTGCTCAGCTCAGCTCCAAGACATCTCTGCAGGGGTTCCTCAGGGTAGTGTCCTAGGCCCAACCATCATCAGCTGCTTCATCAATGACCTTCCCTCCGTCATAAGGTCAGAAGTGGGGATGTTCGCTGATGATTGCACAATGTTCAGCACCATTTGCAAATCCTCAGATACAGAAGCAGTGCATGTTCAAATGCAACAAGATCTGGACAATATCCAGGCTTGGGCTGACAAGTGGAAAGTAACATTCACGCCACACAAATGCCAGACCATCTCCAATAAGAGACAACCGAACCACCATCCATTGACATTCAATAGTGTCACCATTACTGAAGCCCCCATTATCAACAGCTTTGGGCTTACCATTGACCAGAAACTCAACTGGACTCGCCAAATTAAAAAATGGCTGCAAGAGCTGAGGACAATCAATGCAGAATCTTGCAATTTTGACCTGAACATGTGGCTCGTTTTGCAGGTGAATTCAGATTCAGCCAAATAGTGTGAACTGAATTTAAGCCACACAAAACAAAACACAATGAACACATAAGTAAGTGATTCTGGGGAACACTCATTGACAATTTAAACTTCCTGATCGTTTGTTCATTCTGCTTATGATGGTATAAATAGCCTCTGTCTTTTCTCCCATCCTCATTTCAGAAGGTCAGGCCATAGATTTCCACTGGTTGGTCCATGTTGACGGGTGATGTATTTCAGTGGTATACTATTGCCTTCTGCAGGACAGCTGACTGTGAATTCTCCCAGTCTTACCACCTGCCATCTTTACTAGTGCAAACAACTGTAGATAGCACGCTTCATTGTCTTAAAATATCTATTGTTCTTAGGGCTTTTATGTAGTTCAAGTGAAGAAGTTACTACACAATGCCTTATTGCACTTTCAGGGCAATTATTGTCATTCAAATGTTATAAGCTTTTAGTCAGGAAGAAAAACAAAGTTGCTGGAAAAGCTCAGCAGGTCTGGCGGCATCTGTGAAGGAGAAAACAGAGTTAACGTTTCCGGTCCGGTGACCCTTCCTCAGAACTTAAGCTTTTAGTCAGAGTTGGTTTGGAGAATTGTGTCAGGTTTTTGAAGCTGTTGGTCATTTTTGCCTAGTTTCCTAATTTGGTGTGGTAATGCTAATTTAACGTAATTATGATTTTCAATTCAGGCTGAACAGCAGCAAAGCAGATAGCCTTCCTGTTCAAAGCTATACCCCACTCCACTGTTTGGTTTTGGGGTTAACATTTCACTTCAAGAAATGTCTAACTGTCTTATCGAATCCTTTAATCATCTTAGCCTCCTCAATTAGATCACCCTCAATCTTCTGTATTCGAGAGAGTACAAGCCTAGTCTATGCAAAACACTAGGCCCAATTTTAACTCCATGCATGCCAGTAGGTTTTGAGTTAATTCATGTCACCACTATAGTTTCTGAAATATCGTCGCAGAAACTCACCAATAAGGAAGCCAGAATTTCAAAGCAAAGCCCTAATTGGACAAAGGCTAAGATTGTAATCAGGAAACACCAAATGAGGGAAAAGATGTGGGTGACACCCCCTGACTTGAAAGGAGAAGTTCAAAAGGCAGAGGCAGAAGGATGTAAGAAGCAAGATTGACTAATAAATGAGCACAATGCTGCAAGTGCTTCTCTCTGTGTTGTTTGCTGTTGGTTTGGTCCATTTTGATGGCAAGTAACCAATATCTCTTGTTGTATCTTTAAATATTGGGTGTGATTAGTTTATTGGAAGGTATTGTGATCTGCGCAATCGTTGAATTTGGTGGAGAACACAGAGGCAGCAGCAGACCTAGAGGTGTCACAGCAAAATTAAATGTGGTATTTGCATTGAATTGGAGAGGATGTGGCTTCTGCTGCAGCTCATTAAAACTTGTATCATTTGGGAAGCTGGTAACCAAAGGTTTTATCAGTGATGTCTGCTCTAGCTCCAGCAGCCTGAATTTATTGGTTTTGTCAGCCCCATAAATCACTATCAGCAAAGCAGCAAGTTTATGTCCAGTTTAGTTAGAGCATTTGAAAGTGCTCAAATAGCCACTTTTTAAAATGATACTTCACCCACTGCTATTCTGTTTAGTTTTTCCCTTAGCCCCCTCTCTTCCAACTAGTTGTGTGCTGAACTCATATGATAAAATGTGCTACTGGTCTGCAGTATCTTGTCAGCTTTCCATTACATGTGTCTTCTCCTTGGGCATTTAAATGTTGGTTAAAAATGCTAACCCTTTGAAGTATGGAAACAAGCTAACAGCTCAACCCAAAACAATGTAATACTGGAAGAAAAGTCAACTAAGTGCATTGCTTCAAGATAATGGAAAAAGTTGAATTGTATGTAATGATTTTCTATTGCTTTGCAAAGCAAAGCCCAGAAGTCTCATGTATCTTAATAATCTATGATAATGTTCAGGAGCTTGGGATTGATCTTTAGTCAAAGAATGATTTTCATGCAAAGGTGAATGGAGTTAAAATTGATGAATGTAAAGACTATCTTTCCATTTGTGGGTGAATCCAAAATAAAAGAATATAAATGTTTCAAACCAGCCAAATAAAGAATTTAGGAAGAACTCTTTTATATGATAGATGGCAAGAGTGTGGAACTTGCGGCTATATGGAACAGTTGAAGCTCAATGCACTCCTGTCTATAAGGGGTGTAAAGGGAATACAATGATGCAGAGACAAAGTAGGTGTAGTTGAAGGAGGCTTATTTGAAGTATAAACATTGATGTTGATGGGCTGAATGGCCTGTTTGTTTCCATGCTGTGGATCTCCTGACAACAATGAACATTGTAGACTCAATCATAACTTCAGTAACTCTCAGTTTCCATTGCTTTGTTCTAACAATCCCCTCTCCTGTCACCACTGCAGTTATTTTTAAGATTGAGAAGATATTGCTAAAAGAAAAGACATGTTGCCAGTTTTAATCTTTCAGTCAGGACAGAATTGCAAGAATACAAAACCGCGAGCGTAAACTTTTGACTCTATTCTGATGAGTTCAAGATGAAAAGCTTCAGGGTTTTCTTTTAAGCAATATTCAAGTTCTGTACTCCCCAAGCAACTACTTTAAAGATGCGGGTCCATCTTCCATTCTTATAATTCACTGGTGATGCATTTGAATAGTTGAATTGTTTGAATAGTTACTATTTTTAATGAGAACTATTCTTTCATCAGGCTATTTGTGTCCTACAGCAGAAGTGGACTGTTGCCCTATTTCCAAAAAAAGGAAAATCCAGAAGTTGACAGTTTGCACATTAATCTATAAACAGGACGTAGAGATTTGATTAATTTTCTTTCAAAATCACATTCTAAACTTTAATCTACACTTGCAGCTGTAATACATACCTTATTATCTACAGCAGGAAGTATAAGCCTGTAATTAACCCTCCAAAACCACTAATTGTGACTAATTCTACTGAATGTCTCACACTATTCAGAATCTGTTTAGCCTGCTGTGCATAGCTTGCAAATTTATATCAATTATTTTAATTTGTTGTTCAGTCAAGATTTTTGTTTATTGTCTGCTTGTTTTTAAACTCTTCTGCTTCTACCCTCCACCTCGCCCCTGTGTATTCTTACTATTCAGCCAAGATTGCTTCCACTCATATTAGAGTTTACAGTGTAAAAACAGATCTTTTGGTTGAATTGTGGCGTTGGGTGAATGGGATTTGGTACCAGTTAGGATATACACAGCTCTTACATCAGAGATGGAATTGAAAACCTTTCAGGATTATTCTGCACTCTCCAGGGATTGAAGGTTACTCCTTACTGCTGCAAGCAATCTTGAGAAGAAAACAAGAGGGATATTAAGTTGGCCTTTTTTTTTCTATTATTTGAATACTGTACCTGTTCCAAAAATATTTGGAGAATGGGTTGAGGGTGGGAAACCTTTAATGATCTTTAATTCCACCGGTTGACAATGTTCTCGTTCTGCTAGACTGTGCAAAAGCAGTAGATCTGAACAATGGAAATTTTAGGGGACAGAACAATTTGAGGCAGAAAGTTATGTAATTAAAGCAACAGATATACATTTAGAAACAGATCTCTCCAGCTTAGTTGATGAATGTTCATTCTCAACAGGACTTATTGATCTCATCAAAGCTTGGTTGAGGTAGTTTTAAGACTTCTGATTGCTAAGCATCTGCCAGAACCTACTTTTCACCCATTTTTAAAGATGTGCAACAAATTAGAATTGCTGGAGACATTGGGGTCATTCACCAAGATAAATGCTTTAGGGAAGTAAGCCACCAGCGATTGCCAGTGCTTGCGCCCTCTGATGTACAGGAATGTAACTTCAGCTCCTTAGTTAACAGGCTTGTGTCCTAGACACATGACCCACTAATTAAAAACCGAAAGAAATGCAGATGCTGCAAATCAGAAACAAAAACAGAAGTTGCTGGAAAAGCTCAGCAGGCCTGGCAGCATTCATGAAGAGACCTCAGAGTTCTGAGGAAGGATCACCGGACCTAAAACTTTAACTCTGATTTCTCTTCTCAATGCTGCAAGACCTGCTGAGCTTTACCAGCAGCTACACGGAACCCACTGTTGGCCTTGGGATAGTTTTTGGGGCATCTGATACAGTTCTGAGTGATGAGAGTACATATTGTAATGGGATGGATTAATTATTACATCCTATGACTTGTGGTCTCCTCACTGTACCTTTATGTCTATTTATTTTCACAATCAGTTAAACCTGTGCCCTCTGTTCAGTGATCCTACTGCCAATTGAAACAGTTTTTTCTTGCATACTCTTGTCAAAACCTCTCATTTAAAAAACAGAATAAAGGTGCTCAAACTTAAATTTCCTTAACCTACACTGCTTGGAGGAAAACCATCTCAACCATTGTCATTTCCGATAGAACCAAGGTCCTACATTCTCGGTATCATTACAGTAAATCTCATCTCTACTGTCTCTGTTCTTTTATATTTTTTGATTTTAAAAAAAAGTACTCAGAGGATTATAAGTAATCTCTTTCTTTTTTATTTTTGTGAAGCATCTGAGCTCTGTAACTTGATGGTGTGATAAAACAGCACATAATTTTGTTGCATAGCCGAAGTAAGTTGACCCATTGCTACAGGACAAATGTTGTTAAACTTGAAAGGTTTCAAAAAGGTTTACAAGGATGTTGCCAGGGTTGGAGGGTTTGAGCTATTGGGAGAGACTGAATAGGCTAGGGATATTTTCCCTGGAGCGTCGGAGGCTGAGAGTTGACCTTAGAGGTTTATAAAATCATGAGGGACATGGATAGGGTGACTCGCCAAGGTCTTTCCCCCAGGGTTGGGGAGTCCAAAACTAAAGGGCATAGGTTTAGGTGAGAGGGGATATATTTAAAAGGGACTTAAAGGGCAAACTTTTCATACACAGGGTGGTGTGTGTATGGCATGAGCTGCCAGACAAAATGGTAGAGGCTGTACAACTTCAACATTTAAAAGGCATCTGGATGGGCCATGAATAGGAAGGCTTTAGAGGGATATGGGCCAAATGCTGGCAAATGGGACTAGATTAATTTAGGATATCTGGTCAGCATGGACGAGTTGACCAAAGAGTATGTTTCCATGCTGCACATCTCTGGCTCTATGACTCTATTTCCCACTTTGTTCATGACTGTTTCTTGTGTATTCTAGCTGTTGGCATGACAGAAAAGACACCAGTTGGACCAGGATTTCTCAGAGATGTTAACACCACTGACTCTGGTGTTCAAAATGCCACCTTAATTGCAATCTATGGTTACAACAACCAATCAAATGACATCTTCCTGTTTAAAGTTCAGAAGATACGTAAAGCACAAGTTCAGGTAAGAAGAGCCATATCTAAGTGCTGTAGGGAAAGCAACCTTTAATTCCTCCATTCTTCTGAAATTGACCAAGAATACTCAGTCCAGAAGAAGAACACACAATTCAGAGATTCACGACTGTACAATTGGATGCAGTGACACAGTTTAAATAAGATTTGTGGTGAGCTTGTTAAGGAACCACAGGATCTCAAAGAAACATATTTATGGATAAGTACCTGTACATCCAGCATGTTGATTTCCATCACCTGAAATATGAGTATAAGGGAAGGGTAACACTGGATACCCTTCAGGGTTACAATACATCCCACTGTTCCAGAGGTCCTTGCCCCTACCCACTCGTAAGCATCAAAATCACTTTGCTGAAAACAATGGAGTCATCCAGAAACTACTGGAGGAAATATATCACCTCTCGAGTTTTCCTGAATGGCAACTCATCACTATTCAAGGGCCATATCTACCAAAATATCTGCAGAACTGTCCAGAGTAAGATTTGGAGGTGTCATGGCATAGTGGTAACGTTGCCCAATAAGTTTTCCAGAGGCTAAATGTTCAAGGGAAGTAAGTTCATATCTCTCCATGGCAACTGGTGAAATGTAAATTCCGTTCATACATCTAGTTTCCATCATGGTGACCATGACTACTAGCTTCTTTGGTTGGAAAAGCTCATTTGGTTCAAATCTGCTATCTGGTGTGGCCTATATGTGACTCCAGGACTTTAGCACTGTCGTTGAGCCTTAGCAACCTCTGTAATACTCTAGTGAACCACTCACACCAAGGGCAGTTATAGGATAGGTGACAAATGCTGAACTTGACAGCAACGCCACATCCTGTAAAATAATTTTCAAAGCTCAGAAGCAAGACACTTGGATGAATCAGAAAGCAGTTTAATGTCAGTCATATACAGACTCTGAACAGTGGGTATCAATTGATGAATGTGATTTTTATACAGGCACCAGCCTGCTGGTTCATTACTGATCCTGCATGCTAACAGGTCAACACAGCTTACAGAAAGTACAAATTCTCGGAAGATAGGCAGAACTCTTTAACCACATCCTCAATTATCCTTCATCCAGCAACAAAGAAGCAATCAATATACTGCCACACGTTTCTATAAGCTGCTCTCTCAATGTCTGTCCAAGGCTATCAGAGGCTACATAAAAGAGATCAAATTCCTGTCAAATGGCCAAGCTCCAAGAGCTGATGCTATCTACAAAGATAGAGGTCAGCACGTGGTCAAGAGGTTCACTGAGCTTTTTCAGTCTTTGTAGCAGCAAGGAAGCATCCCACAAGAATAAAAAGATGCCTTCATTTGCCGCCTGCATAAGCAGAAAGGAACAAAAACAAAGTTGCTTGAGAAGCTCAGCAGGTCTGGCAGCATCGGTGAAGGAAAAAATAAAGTTAACGTTTCAGGTCCGGTGACTGTTCCTCAGAAATGGAGACAGCAGAAAGGAACTTGCCAATCTTGGAGCAATCAGACAGGAGTGTAACTCCACTCCATTGAGATGAGACGTGCGAACAAGAGCTCAAGAGATGACTCAATAAAGATTAAGGTCTCCAAGGACGTACATCATGACTTATTGTTTGCCAATGTTTGCACAGTAGATGCCAGTTCAGAGCCGGACTGACTTGTTTTCCAAAGCATGCAACAAATTTTGTCTTATAATTAGTATGAAGAAAACTGAAGTGATGTCCAGCCTGCCCCAGGAATGTGCTATCTCAAGCCCAAAATTTTAGTCTTTCTCCCCTTTTCTCTCTCCCTCTTTTTGTTTCTCTCCCTCTCCATCGGAGTTAAGTCGTATATTGGGTCATGCTAAGAAACTCAACCACTTTTTACTTGGGTTGCCTTCAGAGGCTTCTGAAAATTAGTTTGTAAGTCAAAATACCAGGTCTCAGAGTTACCCACTGAACTCGTGTGTCAAGCATCTAGACTGACTCAGCCACAACACTGAGTGAGACACTGTTTCTGTAACTGGAGTGCCTGACACTCACTTGCCAAAATGAATCTTCTATGAAGGTATTGAGTCTGGGATGTGTTGTCATGGTGGCCAGAGGAGATGCTACAATCTGAAGTTTTGGTAATGACTTTGAGTATTGGAAGAAGCTCCCGTATGATCACTGTCTGGTGCAACAAAATTTAAAAATGAGACCTCTCCTGAAACCACATGCATGTCAGAAGCAGAGAGAAAATGGAAAGGAAATCCCAGGTAAATAACTCTTCAAAAATGAAGTCATCTGTGGTATCCATAAAGAATAGGAACAGGAGAAAGCTAATCAGTACCTCCAGCCTGTTCTGCCATTCAATAGGATCATAGCTGGTCAGACATTGCTCACATCCGTGGTCCTGCATACTCCCTGTAACCCTTTATGTTTTCCCTCTGATCATGAATCTATCTATCTCTCAGTCTTAAATATACACGAGGACTGTGCACCCACAGGTCTCTGTGACAAGGAGATCCAAAGACTCTCAAATCTCTAAGAGAAGAAATTCCTCCCTATCTCAGTCTTAAATTGGCACCACTTTATTCTAAGGCTATGCTCTCTGGTCCTTGACTTTTCCATGAGGGGAAACATCCTCACAGCATTTACCCTGTCAAACACTTAAGAATCCGATATGTTTCAAAGAGATCATCTCTCATTCTTCCAAATTCCAATGAGTAGAATTCCAACCTGCTTAACCTTTACTCATAAGACAATCCCTCCATGAAAAAGATCATCCTAGTGAACCTTCTCTTGAACTGCCTTCAATGAAATAATCTTTCTTCTAAATAAGGGGATTGAAACTGCCCACAGTACTCCAGATGTGGTCTCACCAGCACCTGGTACACCTGCAGTAAGACTTCTCTACTCTTATAATCCAACCCAGTCGAAATAAGGGCCAACATTCCATTAACCTTCCTGATTACCTGATACCCCTGTGTGCCAGCTTTCTGTATATCATGCACAAGTATCCCCAAGTCCCTCTGGAGATTTTCCTCCATTTAAATAATGCTTGATCTTTTGTTCTCCCTTCTAAACTGAACAACTTCCTTTGGTTTCTTTCTCATTGTACTCCATTTGACAAATTGTTCTTGTGTATCTAGTTTTTTTTTTAATTCATTTGTGGAATGTGTGCATCGCTGACTGGCCAGCATTTATTGCCCTGTCCCTAGTTACCCTTGAGAAGGTGGTGGTGAGCTGCCTTCTTGAATCGCTGCAATCCTCCTGCTGAGGGTTGACCCACAATGCCGTTAGGGAGGAAATTCCAGGATTTTGACCCAGCGACAGTGAAGGAACGGTGATATATTTCCAAGTCAGGATGGTGAGTGGCTTGGAGGGGAACTTGAATGTGGTGGTGTTCCCATATATCTGCTGCCCTTGTCCTTCTAGATAGAAGTGGTTGTGGGTTGGAAGGTGCTGTCTGAGGATCTTTGCTAAATTTCTGCATGTATCTTGTAGATTGTACACACTGCTGCTGCTGCTACTGAGCATCAGTGGTAAAGGGAGTGGATGCCTGTGGATGTAAGTGCCGGTCAAGCAGGCTGCTTTGTCCTGGATGGTGTCCAGCTTCTTGAGTGTAGATGGGGCTGCACTCATCCAGGCAACTGAGGGAGTATTCCACCACACTCGTGACTTGTGCATTTGTAAATGGTGGACAGTCTTTTTGGAGTCGGGTAGATGAGTTACTCGCTGCAGTATTCCTACCTTTCTGGCCTGCTCTTATAGCCACTGTGTTTATGTAGTTGAGTTTCTAGTCAATGATAACCCCCAGGATGTTGATAATGAGGGATTCCGTGATGGTAACACCATTCAATGCCAAGGGGCGGTGGTTAGGTTGTCTCTTACTGGTGATGGTCATAGCCTGGCATTTGTGTGGCACGAATGTTACTTTACTATTGTCAGCCCAAGCCTGGATATTGTCCACACCTTGTTGCATTTGAACATAGACTTCTTCAGTATCTGAGGAGTCACGAATGGTGCTGAACATTGTGCAATCATCGGCGAACATCCCCACTTCTGACCTTATGATGGAGGGAAGGTCATTGATGAAGAAGCTGAAGATGCTTGGGCTGAGGACACTACCCTGAGGATCTCCTGCAGAGATGTCCTGGAGCTGTGATGACTGACCTCTAGCAACGATGACCATCTTCTTATGCGTCAGGTATGACTCCAACCACTAGAGAGTTTGCCCCCTGATACCCATTGATTCCAGTTTTGCTAGAGCTCCTTGATGCCACACTTGGTCAAATGCAGCCTTACGTTCAAGGGCTGTCACTCTCACCTCACCTCTGGAATTCAGCTCTTTTCTACATGTTTGAACCAAGGCTGTAATGAGGTCAAGACCTGAGTGGCCCGAGCGGAACCCGAACTGGGCATCACTGAGCAGGTTATTGCGGAGGAGGTGCTGCTTGATAGCACTGTTACTGACACCTTCCATCACTTTAATGATGATTGAGAGTAGACTGATGGGGCGGTAATTGGCCGGGTTGGATTTGTCCTGCTTTTTGTGTACAGGATATACTTGGGCAAATTTCCACATTGTTGGGTAGATACCAGTATTTTAATTGTACTGGAACAGCTTGGCTAGGGCAGCAGCAAGTTCTGGAGCACAAGTCTTCAGTACTATTGCCGGAATGTTGTCAGGGCTGGTAGGCTTTGCAGTATTCAATATCTCCAACTGTTCCTTGATATCACATGGAGTGAATCAAATTGGCTGAAGATTGGTATCTGTAATGCTGGGGACCACTGGAGGATGCCAAGATGGATCATCCACTCAGCACTTCTGTCTGAAGATTGCTGCAAAATCTTCAACCTTATCTTTTGCACTGATGTGCTGGGCTCTTCCATCACTGAGGATGGCAATTATTTGTGGAGCCGCCTCCTCCAGTGAATTGTTTAATTGTCCACCACCATTCACGACTGGATGTGGCAGGACTGCGGAGCTTAGATCTGATCCGTTGGTTGTGGGATCACCTAGCTCTGTTTATCCCTTGCTGCTTTCACTGTTTGGTATGCAAGTAGTCCTATTTGGTATCTTCACCAGGTTGATACCACCTCCTCAGGTGTGCTTGGTGCTGCTCCTGGCATGCCCTCCTGCACTCTCTCCATTGAACCAGGGTTGATCCCCTGGCCTGATGGTAATGGTTGAGTGGGGGATATGCCGAGCTGAGGTTACAGATTGTGCTGGAGTACAATTCTGCTGCTGTTGATGGCCCACAGCACCTCATGGATATCCAGTCTTGAGTTGCTAGATCTGTGCGAAGTCAGTCCCATTTAGCACGGTGATAGTGCCACACAACACAGTAGAGGTTGTTCTCAACATGAATGCGGGACTTTGTCTCCACAAGGACTGTGTGATGGTCACTCTTACCGATACTATCATGGACAGATGGAACTGCAGCAGGCAGATTAGTAAGGATGAGGTCAAGTATGTGTTTCCCTCTTGTTGGTTCCCTCACCACCTGCCGCAGACCCAGTCTAGCAGTTATGTCCTTTAGGACCCGACCAGCTTGATCAGTAGTACTGCTGCCGAGCCACTCTTGCTGGTGGACATTGAAATTCCCCACCCAGAGTACAACTTGTGTCCTTGCCATCCTCAGTGCTTCCTCCAACTGTTGCTCAACATTGAGGGATACTGATTCATCAGCAAGAGATTTTCTTGGCCATGTTTAACCTTAAGCCATGAGATGTCATGCGGTCCTGAGACAATGTTGAGGACTCCTAGAACAACATCCTCCCAACTGTATACCACCGTGCCACCACCTCTGCTTGGTCTGTCCTGCTGGTGGGACAGGACAGATTCAGGGATTGTGGTGGTGGTGTCTGGGACATTGTCTGTTAAGTATGATTCTGTGAGTATGACTATATCAGGCTATTGCTTCACTAGTATGTGAAACAGATCTCCCAATTTTGGCACCAGCGCCCAAATGTTAGTGAGCAGGACCCTGCAGGATCGACCAGGCTGTTTCTGTCCTTGTCTTTATCGATTACTAAGTCGATGTCTGGTGATCTGTCCAGTTTCATTTCTTTGAGACTTTGTGGCGATTGGCTTGCTAGGCCATTTCAGAGGCCAATGGAGAGTCAACCACATTGCTGTGGGTCTGGAGTCACATGTAGGTTGGACCAGGTGAGGATGGCAGATTTTTTCCCCTGAAGGACATTAGTGAACCAGAGGGGTTTTCTGACAATTGACAACGGTTTAATGGTCACCAGTAGATTCTTAATTCCAGATTATTTTTTTTTACTTGAATTCAAATTCCATCATCTGTTGTGGCAGGATTCAAACCCGGGTCCCCACTCCATTTGTTTTCCATAGGGACCGCTCTCTCCACAACTCCTCATCCGATCCACATTCCCCACTAACCCCACCATCCCCAGCATCATTCTCTGCAACCACAGGAAGTGCTACACCTGCCCCTACACCTCCCCTCTTACCTCCATCCAAAGCCCCAAATAATCGTTCTGTATCTGACAAGGATTCAGCTGTACATCTTCTAACCTGGTCTACAGTATCTGTTACTCCCGATGTGGCATCCTCTACTTCGGAGAGACCTAGCGCAGACTTGGTGACTGAATTGCGGAGCATCTATGCTCGGTACGCTCCAATCAACACCAGCTTCCAGATGCCAGCCATTTCAACTCCGCCATTTCAACTCCCCTTCCCAGTGCCATGGCAATATCTCCATCCTGGGCCTCCTCCAATGTCATAACGAGGCCACACAAAAGTTGCTGGAACAACATCTTATATTCCACCTCGGGAGCCTACAACCCAAAGGCCTCAACATAGAATTCATCAGTTTCAAAATCTCCCCACTCCTGGCCTCACCACATGCCCAGCCCTCCCTCTCATCCCTGCCTCCTTGACCTGACACAATCTGTCCATCTTCCATCTCACTTATCTGCCCCACCCTTTCCACTGACCAATCTCCACAATGCCCTACCTGCATCCACCTGTCACCATCCCACCTATCTGCCCCCAGACCCATCCTCCTCCCTCTTTTTATTTCTGAGCTCCCTTCCCCCTCCCCAGTCCTGATGAAGGGTCCTAACTCAGAACATTGACTTTCCTGCTCCTGTGATGCTGCCTGACCTGCTGTGTTCCTCCAGATCCACACTGTATTGACTCTGACTCCCAGCATCTGCAGTTCTTGCTATCCCCAGAAGATTAGCTGAGCTTCTGGATTAATAGTCTGTCAATATCTCCTTAAACTGTTTGTATACCTCTTGCAACTTGCCTTTCCACCAATTTTTGTGTTGTTTGCAAAACTGGCTACAGTACATTATCCTGTCCTATGTGGACCAAACCTTTTCAGTTACCGAACAGCTGTTGCAGTTACCTATATAACCAGAATCCTCCCAAGCGTCCAAGGTGATGAATATGGTCATCCTCCTCCCAGAGGATAATCAAAATCATCTGCAGTATCTTGTTCAGCTTGTTTTCTATCTGTACTCAGGCCGGTTGCTGCAGTTGTATGTGAATATTCCAAAATTTGACCGTTATCCACTTTGAATTATGGAACAGAAATCTTGTATAACGTTCACAGAAATGTTTGTGTGACACTATAGTAAGATGTTTACATAGGGATTAAAGGTCACTATTTAGACAGAGTTGAATTAGTTTTAAATTAATTAATAGCAAGTTAACATGATGGTTAAGCCAACAACAGTCCGTCAGAGAATAAATTGGTTCGTTTGTGGAATGAACTGCCTGACCAAGTGGTGGATGCAGGTACAATTACAACATTTAAAATGCATTTGGACAGGTATATGAATAGGAAAGATTTAGAGGGATATGGTCCAAATCCAAGCAAATGGGGCTGGTTTAGCTTGGGTAACTTGGTCAGCATGGACAAGTTGGACTGAAGGGTCTGTTGTGATGCGGCATGACTCTATGAACTTTTATGAATTCAGTGTTCCAAGTATTCAGTCAAAAGCAAGTTTTTGAGGTTGTTAAAACTTGGAGACTGAGGATTTTCATAATGGCGGTTATGTCATTACACAGGTGATAACAAGAGCTAGTAAAATGCACTTAAATGCAGGGTCAGTGAGACATTGAGAGAATTAGACAGGCAGATTTTTTACAGAACTCAAGGAGGCCATTTACCCAATTGCACCTGCTCTTTAGAAGAGCTGCCACGAGATAGAATTCCCCTGCTGTTTCCCCAGATTCCTGTAAACCTTTCAGTTTCAAGTACTATATCTAATCAAATTCTCTTGCCAGAAGTTCCATCTCCACTCATTCAGATTTTGTTTCCAAGCTTCCTATCTTGCCCTGCAGAAGTAACTTGCATTTTCCCCTCTGGTTCTTTTGCCAATTATCTTAATTTTGCATCCTCTGGCTGTAGACATTCAACATCAGTGGAAAGGGTTTTATCTCCTTTTTTACTCTGTCAAAATCCCCTTAATTTTGAGTACCTGTATTAAATTTCTCCGTTCCTTTTTCTGCTCTTAAAAATGTCAGCTTCGTTGTTCCCTGCACATCAACTTGCCCTGCTACCAAACCAGCAAACTTCCACTGCACCACCTTCAAGGCCTTGAGCTCCTATTGTCAGCCATCATTAAGGGAAGATGATTGCAGCAATGTGTGTGGGTTGACACAAAGTGCAGTTATTTGTGAAAAGTAAGTTGTTTTTTTTTTCTTTTTTGGAGATGCACAACTGAGCAGTTACTGCAGCTACAATGGTCAGTGAGTTTAATTACAGAAAAAGCATGAATGTTGTTTTTACATCTGCATATTTACATAGAGGAAGTGGTTGCATGAGCGGCTTCAGACAAAAGAAGGAAAGGTTATTTAATGCTTTCAATCAAACTGACAATGCCCTGATGATGACTTCCTTTTGTTTACCTTGGAGCTAAGTGTGACTTAGTCTTTTTGTTAAAATATATGAACATTTTGCCAATATTTTCCTGCTCGTACATTAGAGGAATCTAAGGATTTGAAATGCTTATGCTTTAGAGTAAGATGATCATTCTTTCTACATATTAATGTTGCACTTCTTCAGCAACTTTAGAATAAATCCATTTTACATAATGCTTGAGCAGCTATGTTCCAAGGAGATATTAAAAAAAGACGTATTTTCATTTAAAGGTTGTTGCTGGTCTGAAATATTTTCTCTACGTTGATATCGGAAGAACAGTGTGTCGTAAAGGAAAACCATATAACCTCAAATACTGTTCATTTGAAACACATCCACCGCTGATTAAGGTAAAACAATTCTACACTTGTTACTTGAACCTATATTTGGAAGGCTGCTAATGTCTATACAAAAGAAAACATGGGAAGGCAAAGGTATTCCCAATGAACTAGTACTCCAGAAGCCCAGATAATGCTCTGGGCCAGAGTTCGAATCTCACCATGGCAAATAAGGAATTTACTTTTTAAATTGGAATTAAAAGTCTAATGATGTCAATTGTCATAAAAGCCCATTGGATTCACAAATGCCCTTTATGGAAGAAAATCTGCCATTCTGACCCTATTTGGTCTACATGTAATTCTAGACTCTCAACTGTCCTCTGAAACTGACTAGCAAACTATTCCTTTATGTCAAACCCTGAAAACATTCTCAAAAGGAATGGGACTAGATGAACCACCTGACACCAATGAAGACTCTAGAAACAGAAACAGTAAATGCTGCATTATTGACCCTGAAGTGTCCCCCCTTACCAACATCTGGGGGCCAAAATCACAACTAGTGCATAAAATGGGTTAACTGCCTCATGGACTAGACAAGCAACAGCCTGGCATTGTCTGTAAGATAGGATTTGGTGAGAGTCGCTACATCCTAGACAAAACCATCACCATCTGTAGGCATGACTTGTCCCATCTGCAGGACAGACCCACAGAGATGGAGGCATAGTGGTAAACAGTCAGGAGGAAGCTCAACATTTATTTTGGACCCCATAAAGTCTCATGGTATCAGGTCAAACGTGGGCAAGGAAAGCTCCTGCTGGTTACCTCTTTGCACTCCTCAACCCCACTTCAGCACAGAGAAGAATCTTCTCGACTTTCCTTTAGAATATGTCAACTCTTTCACTCCGGACAAAAGGACCTCTTCCATTTGTCAGTTCTCTTTCAACAGATTTCTTTCGCTGAACGTGTCAGTCAGGTAACCAAGCGAGTAAACTATAGGCCATTCTTACTGCACCTTGTCAAGTTAGTCTCTTATCAGTTAAGAAAGAGCGTACCTTTAAAATGTAGATAAGCATTCCATCTTGAGAGCCATCACTTCACCTCCCTTCTTGAACAAGAATTTGTGGCCTTGCCCAGTTCCTCACAAAATGCCACAAAACACATGGGCCTGAATTCCACCATGGGCTTCAGGACCTTGAGGTGACAAGAGGAACATAGGATAGAGGAACAAGAGTAAGCCATTCAATCTAACAAGCCTGCCCCACCATCCAACTAGATCATGGCTGAACTTTAACCTCGACGCAATTTTTCCTAATGATACTCCCTTATCCTTTGATATTTTTAATATCTAGAAAACCATTGGTCTGGCTTGAATATACTCTGACTGAGCCCTATCTGCTTCTAGGGTATAGAATTCTAAAGAGTGCGTCCTCCAAATGAATAAATTGCTCCTCATCTCACTCCTACCTCTTATTTTGAGATTGTCCCCCCAGTTCTAGACTCCCTAGGCAACCACTTTCCTTCCGGCTAATCCGTCAGACCCTGTGAGAATTTTGTATCCTTAAATAAGTCCACCTCATCTAAAAGTTAGTGATTGCAGGTCCTGTTTCCTCAATGTCCCCTCACAGGACAATCCCAGCATTCCAGAATCAGAGTACACAATACTCCAGGTGTGGTCTCACCAAGGCTCGATACAATTGGAGTAAGAATTGGGCTGAATAGAGGCAGCATAGCCGCCTCAGTAAATCATTTTTTCTCCTGACACTTTCTAATTAAAGATGATGGGGTTCAGAAAGTTCAGGGGTAGTCACCACTGAGGGCTGGGGGTGTGGCCTTAAACTGGAAACACCTTCAGATCTTTTTAGGAGAACAGAAGCCCCATGGGAAAGAGGGGAAGTCTATCCACAGGGAATAGTTAGGACTGTGGGGCTGACATTCCCACCCAGGGTCACTGCTGTGGATCGTGAAACCTATAAATTGGATTTCCTCCTGGATGGGACAGGAAAGTGACTTCTATGATGACCTCCCAACATATTAGATGCTGCCCCATTAGCCCCATAAACTGATTAAGCTCTCTCCTTGAAATGGGGTCTCTTGTGACACAATGGTACTGTTCCTATCTCTGAGCTGGGAGACCCAGGTTCAAGTCCCACCTACCCCAGTGGCATGTCAATAACACCTTTGAACAGGTTGATTGAACAATACGTGATCTCCACACAGTGGGTAGCCAATCTCCCTTGCAGCCTGCTGTAGGAAAAATGTCCTGGTGGTAAGACAGCTATCCTGTCTCATCTGCCTATCACTTCACCAGCCCCTTCCAAACTCCATGAAGGAATCTCTTGCAGCAACCACCACAGTAGAAAAAAGCAAATGCTCCAGATAGCTCAAGGTGTAGATACTTTCCTCATCAACCTGTTCAGAGATGTTACTGCACACCTCAAACTTAAACCTGGGTCTCCTGACTCAGAGGCAGGGACTCTAGCATTAAATTACAGGAGCCCCTTTAGCTCATGGTGTAGTATACATTTGATGGTATAGACTTGATGGGACAAAGGGCTTCTTCTGTATTGTATGATTCTATGAACATAAACTTAATTAAGAAATGTGGAATATAAAGTTTGTTTCTGTAAGGTTGACCAAGATGAGAGCGACCATAAACTAGTGAACTAGGAAGTGTTTTTAACGATAATATCCCTTAGCAATGGAAATGTACCATCCTTTGCAGGTGTGGCCTGCACATGAATTTAGACCCATTGCTCAAGGTGATTGCACCAGTTTCTATTTTACACCCTGACATGTTTTAGCTGCTGCGGAAGCTCCAACAGTGCAGAACCCACCCCTCCATTCAATTTGTCTGACTGATCACGACTGAAATTACTAAATCCTCTGACAATGTTGAAATGTCAACTGAACTCCAGTAAACAACAAAGTAATTATTATGCAGACAATCAATGCATCACAAAACTGTCGTTTGACATTGTTTTCCTATTGATGATCCTGCTTCTGCTTTCCAAACATTTCCCTCATGATTTTGAACTCCTATGGCATTATCAACTCCTCAGCAATCGTAAGCTTTTATTAAATCAATTCTCTGTGCCACTAAGTAAGTGAGACCATAACTTTATTTTTGTTGTAATTGCGGATTGTATTTTGGTACTGATAGTTCTATGGCCTCCCACTGAAAAGAAAACAAGCATTTCCTGTCTTCAATAGTTCACCTTCAGTGACTAAACATTTCTTCAAATTGAAGGATTTCAGGTGTATTGGACAGTACTTGCACAGAAATTGCACACGGCACCTGAGACATCTCCACTTTGATACAAATAAAACAAAAATTCAGGTAGCCATATTTATATTTCCTTAATTGTCCATTTAATTTTACATTTCTTTATTCCACCCCTTTTGTGTTTCTTCAGCCTTTATGGTTGAACTTGATGAAAGATTCTGAGGGACCTTAATAAAACAGAAAGAACTGTGGAAGCTGTAAATCAGAAACAAGTGACCATGGTTTGCATGTCCACCAGGACAGGTAGATAAAGAAGGGTTTAGGGATACTTGCCTTTATTGGTCAAGGCATTAAAATTTTTAAGTGCAAGGAGATGATGCTGGAATTGTATAAAGGTTGGTTAGGCCACAGCTAGATTATTGTGCAACTCTGGAATTCATACTATAGGAGGGACGTGATTGCACTGGAGAGGGTGGAGATGAGGTTTACCAAGATAACAAAGTGTGGAGCTGGAGGAACACAGCTGACCAGGCAGCACAAGAGGAACAGGAAAGCTGACATTTCAGGTCGGGACCCTCCTTCCACACTTTGTTATTTCTGGCTCCAGCATCTGCAGTTCTTGCTATCTCAGGTTTACCAAGATGTTGGTCGGGATGGAGAGTTTGTGATGAAGTATAGGAGACATGGGTTTGAATTCATGAGATATCAGCCCCTGAAGTGGGGACGAAGGGAGTTGATCTAATGGGATGGGCTTCACCTGAATCATGCTGAGGGAAAGGAGGTGGGGGGGGAGGGGTTGGGTTCAGTTGCATGGAAATTTACAAAAATCAAAGGTAAAGGAGAAGGTAGGACTGTAAGTTAGTGATGGGATGATTGTTACCAGAAAATAAAAAGAAGGGACAGAGCGTGTGACTGTCTTAGTATACCAAGGAGCCATAAGTGTAGGAAAATTTGATTAACAGAACTAACTTAAAGGCTTTGTATCACAAAACATTCAGAAGGAGGTAAACAAACTGACGGCACATATCTAAGTAAATGAATATGATCTCGTAGCTATTACGGAATGTCGGTTACAAGGAGATCAAGACTGGTAACTTAAAATTCAGGGGTATTTGACTGTTTGGAGAGATGGGCTGATGGAAAAGGTGGTGGGATAGCACTTTAATAAGAGACAAAATGAGAACAGAGTGAGAGACAATTTCTGATAGGATGATATAGAGTCTATTTGGAGGAAAGTTTTAAAACAAAAAGCAAGGGAAAGAAGACATTGCTTGTGTACAGACTCCAAATAGCACTCACTCTGGAAAAGGTTGTAAATCAACAAATAATTTCATCTAAAAAGAATAAAGCAATAATTATGGGTGATTTTAATCTTAAATTTGATTGGATGAATCAAACTGGAAAGGGTTGCTATGACAATGAATTCATAGAGTGCATTAGCGATAGTTTCCTTGAGCAATATGTCATGAAGCCAACCAGGGAACAGGCTGTCTTTTGATCTGGTAATGGGTAATGAAGCAGGTTTAATAAATGACCTCAGAGTAAAAGATCCCCTAGGAAGTAGTGATCATAACATAATCAAATTCCGTTTGTGTGAGAAATTTGTGTCAGAAACAACTATTTAAATAAGGGGCATTACAATGAAATTGGGATAACGTTATCTAAAGTTAACAGGGCAGACAGATCAGCAGTAATGATAGTAAGCAAGCAGTGGTAGACATTTGAGGAGGTAATTAATGACTCTCAGTAAAACTACATCCCAGTAGGGAGGAAATATTCTGAGAGGGGAAGCCAAACCTGGCTAACCAAAGACGTTAAGGAGAGTGTAAATTTGAAAGAAAAAGCATGT